CCCGAGAGGCAATAGCTGTGTCGATGGAAGAAGCTCTCCCATCGACATAGCGGGGTTATGTTGTATAACTACGTTGCTCAGGGGTTTGGATTTTTCACACCCCTGAATGATGTAGTTAAACCAATATAGTTCTGTAGTGTAGACCTGGCCTAGGTAATTCTTAACTTGTTCTTTCCCTATTTTGGCCTCAGATACTACCTCATTTACACTGATGTTAGTCAGTCCAATTGCACTGACTAACTGCTTGTGTTGTTTTCTTTTATATTTAGCCTTCATAATTTGACCTAATTTCCAGTTTTTATATGACTCTCTTTTGAGTTTCAGGCTGTTGAAGATTTCCTGGTTAAGCCAGAGTGGTCTTTTACCATACTTTTTATCTTTTCTATTCATTGGGATTGTTTGCTCTTGTGCTCTTAATAATGTCCCTTTAAAAAACTGCCAACTCTCCTGAACTCTTTTTTTACCTTTTAGGAACTTATCTTTTAGGATCTTTTTACCTTTTAGGATCTTATCTACCAATTCTTTGAGTTTGCTAAAGTCTGCCTTCTTGAAGTCCATAGTTTTTATTCTGCTGTTTTCCCTCCTACCATTCCTTAAAATCATGAACTCTATCATTTCTTGATCACTTTCACCCAAGCTGTCTTCCACCTTCAAATCTTGAACCAGTTCCTCCCTAATTGTCAGAATCAAATCTAGAACAGCCTCTCTCCTAGTCACTTTCTCTACCTTCTGTAATAAAAAGGTATCTCCAATGAATTCCAAGAACTTGTTTGATCTGTGCCCTGCTTTATTATTTTCCCAACAGATGTCTGGGTAGTTGAAATCTCCCAGCACCACCAAGTCCTGTGCTTTGGATGATTTTGTTAGTTGTTCAAAAAAAACCTCATCCACCTCTTCTTACTGGTTAGGTGGTCTATAGTAGACCTCTATTATGACATCACCTTTGCTTTTTTACCCCTTTTATTCTTACCCAGAGACTTTCAAAAAGTCTGCCTCCCACCTTCTATCTTGACCTCAGTGCTAGTGTATATATCTTTGATAAAAGGAAACATCTCCCTTTTTCCCCTGCCCATCCTTCCTGAACAAGCTGTATGCTTCTGTACCAATATTCTAGTCACATGAATTATCCCACCAACTCTTTGTGATGCCAGTTATGTAGTAATTGTGATAATTCAGTAGTGTTTCTAGTTCTTCCTGTTTGTTCCCCATACTTCTTGCATTAGTATACAGACATCTAAGATGTTTGTTAGATTTTCCCTCTATATTCCCTCTTGTACCTCCTTGGATTGGCCCTGCAGATCATGAAGGGAACCTGCTTCCTGGGCCTGTTGGGGAAACAGATGATCCTCCTTTGAGTGATGCTCCCTATGAATATTCTATACGTGGGTATGCATGCACACCTGGTGCCCAAGTCCAGAAATCTTTTAGTAAGCAGTGTCCGTTGGTTCTCCTCATGCTACAACAAACAGAGTATAAAGGGCAGTGTGGACAAATGCCTCTCCAGTTCCCTTTTACCACTGCATGCCCTGAGTTGGAATCCTCTTTGATTTTCTTTTTCTTTAAACTTATGAATACAAAGTGTTAAATAATTTTTAATAGTTTAGTAATTTAATGTTTTTAGTGGTGGGGAAAGAGATGATGACCCTTTTAATTGGTGATTGGAGCACCCTGCCGAGAACATTTCCTACTGGGAAATGTCCATTTACCACTCTGTGCTCTGATGATTCCTTTGCTTCTGTCTCCTATAGACAGTGCTTTGTCCCCCTTCACTGCTGCAGTGAGTTGGATGAAAGGCACCCCTGGCTCTGTTTCACAACTGGTTCTTTTCATAGGTACTTATCCCTGGGAGAACATGACCGAAAGCGCTTGGAGGATGACGAAGACCGCCTACTGGCTACACTACTGCACAACATGCTTGCCTACATGCTTATGATGAAGGTGATACTCTGCTCCTTCCCTTTTCTAGGCACAGGACATTCTACTTGTGGTGTTGTGTGGCCAGGTACAACTGTACGTGAAGGTGGGGTCATTTTCAGAGCAGTCACAAGAATTAAGCTGCACACACTCCCGACTGGTGTTAATGAGAATCAGGGAGCTAGATTGCTATATTACATCATGAATTTATCCTTAGTATTCATGCCTTAAATGGCCCTTTGTGACCCATGTTCACTTCAGCCACAGTGACATAGTGTGTAATTGGCACATGGTGTCCTGCTGGCCATTTTTAACAATGCTTCTATACTAAATGCTGTTGAATAGCAGTAACACCATTTAGTGACATTGTCTTCCACCCCCACCTCTCTAAATGTGGAAGAAAAATTGCATTCCCTTTCCTCATAGGAGGATTGCATGGGATACATGGTGATCCAGCCCTGTGGTTTCTCTTTACTTGCCCTATTTATCAGCACCTATTCCAGTTTCTGAAGAGAACTTATCTGTTTAAACAGTAGCTTACTCTATTCCTTTGTCTGGAGAAATTGATGGCTGATAGTGGAGCAAACAGTGAGTAAGGAGATCAGTTCTTCCATCCCCTTCGGCAATGTACACCAAGATATCTGGATATTTTGTCCGTGATTAGGGAAAGGTAAATAACCTGGTTCTGTACTTGCTTCCTAGGTGAGCAAGAATGACATTAAGAAGAAGGTGCGTCGTTTGATGGGGAAATCGCACATTGGATTGGTGCAGAGCCAGCAAATAAACGAGTTACTAGACAAAGTGGCTAACCTAGTGAGTAAAGAAAAGATTAATGACACCATATCTCTGCCCTTTCCTGGGAAGAGAGACAATAGAGGAACTAGTCCCCAATTCACTCCAGGAATTGTTTGACTTGAAATATTTTTCATTAAAATGCAAACTGATTTTCTGAGAAAATAAAACTTATCTGACAAGTCTGTTGTTATAAATATACTGTAGATATTTTATATATAGTGAGTCTGAAGGAATTACTAAATATGCTAAATGTATATCTAAGGTTACAGGTGGTGTGATTTCAGGAATAGTATGCAATTACATAATTAAAAACTGTACCATAAGAATGCATGCACACAAGGTACACGTGGTCAGCATTGGCTTTCTCATTCCTGACTTACGTGCATCATTGTGCGATGTTAATTTTCTCCCAATATAGCTGTTGTATGCTATGTGTTGTTTAAAAGATTAACAGTAACTTGATACAATAATGTTAACAGCAATCTATATTTTTCTGGTATTGATGGTTAATTTATGAACAAATTGGAGGGAATTCCTAAAAGAGGAGAGAAATGATCAGGGGACTCGAATAACACGGTGACAGATGCAGTATAGGTTTCTGAATAGGCTAGAATAGCTTGCCTAAACACTGCTAATTGGAAGGGGAAGAACATAATTCTACAACTATTTGGTGTTTTAAAAATAAAAAATAATTAAGAGAAATTGTTCTATGACAGGGATTTCCAAACTTTCAGAGTTTTTACTACTACTTAATAGTGGGGCTACTTCTTGAGCCAACTCCCAGTCACACTCGGATTTGAAGTCACATACCAACTGACTACAACTACTGTAACTGCTTGCATGGAAAACTTTATGCAGACCCATACAATCAAATTAGTTCCCCCACTCCCAGTCAGTTCCTCCTACATCTCAAAATAAACACAAACCTCCCATCCCACAGTGTCATGCAGTTCTCCTTTACTTTCAGATTCCATATTGAGTTTTCAGGGTGGAGAGTTTTCATCAGCTTCTATGAACTCTGTCAGTCAGTCCCTTTGCCCCCTCCTCCCTGCTTCCAATTAGTTCTTCTCAGCCTAGCATTCAAAATAAATTTCTCCTACAATCAGTTTTTTACAAATCTGTTTTCCACACACTCAAACAATTCCAAATAATTTCTCAACTCTTACATTATACCCCCAGTCAAAATCATTCCCCCGCATTAAAATTCACTTCTTTCTCTCCCTCCCCACATCAAAAAACAAAACAATCCAAAAAATCTATTGCTCCCTCAGGCTACCTGGCCTCTCATCTCCACCATCCTTTTCCAGGCTTCTTCATGCTTGCTGCTCCCCCCCCCCGTTTCCACACTTAGACCCTGCCCTAATATCCTCCTTACCGCCTCCACCCTTCCCACAGCCCAGTTCCTGCTTCCTCTTTTTCCCTCCCCAAGCAGTCTCCCCACTTGTACTGCCTCTTCCTCTCCCATTTAGCAGGCCTGCTATGACTGCTGCCTCCTCCCACATCTCTCCACCTCCTTCGGCCCAGCTTCCCCAAAAGGACCTCCTCAGCCTGGCTCCATATATGCAAAGCCTTATGTATTCTGCAGTAGAATGGGACCAGGTTCCATGGCAATGTTAATTTATTCCATTGCCATGAAATAGCCTTCACTCCCATCCCCATACCTGCACACAAACACACACAATTATGGCACCTAATTGAAAATACTCATTGAATTGGATGCTTGCACTCTCTCTCTCTCTCAGCTTTCTAGCGGGTCCAGCTCTCTTCCCTGAGCCTTGGCTTTCACAATGTTCTAGACTAGGCCACTGGACAACCTTCTAGTTCTATTCTCCTATGTGCCAGAGAAGTGGGGAGCTTAGATCCAACTTCAGTCTCCATATCTTCCTGGGTCTCTGCTGCTGCATTATTCTACAGGAAACCTTGTTTGCCAGCCTACACTCTTGGCTCCAAAATGATGGGCTCTAGTTGTGGCTCAATGAAGCAGTGCGGGGACCATGCACTGTACTCCAGTTATAACTGCTCCTTTTAGTGAAAGCTGTAAAACAAGAGGAAACTGCATGGTGGGGCAAGAAGGCAGGAAAACAAAAAGTAAAAAGCAAAAAAAAAAAACCCTAAAGAAAACAAAAAAAACCCCAACAACCCTCTCTTTGGCTGCTGCAAAATTGTGACTGTTAAGTGGGTAGGGTGGGAAGGATTCCTGAATTTCGTGACACTTTGGGAAAATGTCATGTTCTTTTCCTGCGGAATTGTGGCGTCTTTGTGGCCCCAGTTGACGTGAGGATAGTTTGTACCTCTGAGCTATTCTTTCAGGATCTCTGCAGATTCATTCTGACATCAGTGAATCTCTGGGTGGCAAGCCTGGTGGTGGTGTCCGTAGGCGACCCCTGGATGGCTCCCCCTCAGCAACAGCTTCAGCAGCTGTGGCCAGGCCCACCGACAGCAATTCCAGGCACCAGGGCAGAACAGTCAGTGGCCCCCCCTAGAAAGGGACAACTGAGATTTACGACACTACGTTTTATTCTGTTGATAACACATTAGAACCCATTGTGTATAAATTGTGGCACTGCTTGATCTAGTTAACTTTCCCCCCCATTATAGCACCAGTATTAAACAAATTGTGAGTCTAAATATAAGATGTAGAATTTGTTATTTTGAATTATATATTTAAATTAAATAAATACATTATGGAATTAAATTAATATATAAAACATTTAAAGAACCACAAAGTAAGAAAACACCTAAAGTATCAAGTAGGCTAATTAGATTACACATGAATCATGAGTAGGTGTTTAAAGACAAAGAAAAAACTGATATACAAGATGTAACTGAATATGACCAACAAAGTTAAAATATGCAATACAAGACTTGTGCTGCTGGTGCTGTTGGACATCAACACCCAGAGCAATGAAGAGACGGCAGGCATGCTGTGCCACACCTAGCGGGAGATCTCCAAGGAGGCAGCCGGGGCGAAGGCCGAGGGAAATCCCACACCTCATTTCCTGGCTGAGCGGTGGAGGTGGCCCCTCATCCTGCGCTCATGATAGCAGCTCGGCAGCCAGTGCTAGCGGCAGCAACAGGGGGCAAACTTAGGGCTGCTCGATTGTGTGGCTGAACTTGTGGCTTGTGCTTGGCGAGGAGCTGCAGCCCTGGGGGAGGAAATCAGGTAGCACAGAGGAAGCTTGTTCCTCTTTAAATTCTCCCTGTCCTCAGGCCCGCAACTGGAGAGCTGGCACAGCGGCTCCCGGGCAGCCAGAGGATGCAGCAAGCTTCACGGTTCCCAGGCTGCTGTTGCTGTTGCTCTGCTAGACTAGCAGGGTGCAGCAGCACGCTGGCAAACTGGTACTGTCACAATGAGGGACGACGCCCTGTACAGAGCAGCAGCAGGAAACCGGATTTCTTTTTTAATCTTAATTTTTAATTAAAAAACCACATAACCATCCCATCTGCCCGGGCCCTTTTAAATCGCCTGGGCAATTGACCCATTTCCCTCCACCATCAGCGGGCTGGCTCTGGCTCTCCCTCACCAGTGACTCTGGTGGCATCAGGCAGTCAGTGGCACCTATTGGGCTCCTTGTGGTGACAGTCTCTGTGGCTCCTATTAGCTCTTTCTGTTGGCAGCTCCTGTGTTGGCATGCAGACAGTAGCTCCACTTAATGAGCAGAAGACTTTAATGACAGCTCCAGTTTATACTTGGAGGCATTTTGGCTAGAGCCATGCACAAGGAGGCAGAGCCAGCAGCATCATGTAGCTGCCTAACTCTGTGACTCACCATGATGCTGGCTAGAGATGACAGCATGGGAATCTCTGGCTTAGAGTGATCTGATAGCTGTAGGGAGTGACAATGCTATATAAATGCTAAGTGATTATAGTATTCTAATTTGGGTAAAATCAAGAAAGAGAAAAGTTATGATTATCAGAATTTCTGATACTGTGAGCTGTTAGACTCTCTCTCATAAGAGCAAGGGTGGAAATGCCATCACTTGAGACATTTAAAACAAGACTTGGCAAATACAGTACAAACATAAGAACAGCCATACTGGGTCAGATCAATGGTCCATCTAGCCCAGTATCCCGTCTTCCAATAGTGGCTAATGCCAGCTGCTTCATAGGGAGAACAGAACAGGGCAACAATCAAGTGATCCATCCCCCCGTTGTCCAGTACCAGATTCTGGCAGTCAGAGGTTTAGGGACACTCAGAGCATGAGGTTGTGTCTGTGACCTTGGCTAACAGCCATTGATGGACCTATTCTCCATGAATTTATCTAATCCTTTTTTGAATCCAGTTATACTTTTGGCCTTCACAGCATTTCCTGGCAATGAGTTCCACAAGTTGATTAGTGTTGTGTGAAGAAATACTTACATTTGTTTTAAATCTGCTTACTATTAATTTAATTCGGTGACCCCTGGTTCTTGTGAAGGAGTGAATAACACTTCCTTATTCACTTTCTCCACACCATTTTTATTTTATAGGCCGCTATCGTATCCCCCATTAGTCATCTATTTTCTAAGCCGAGCAGTCCCAATCTTTTTAATGTCTCCTCATATGACAGCTGTTCCATACCCTATATCATTTTTGTTTCTCTTCTTTGTACTTTTTCCAATTCTAATAAATCTTTTTTGAGATGGCGTGACCAGAACTACATGCAGTATTCAAGGTGTGGGCATACCATGGATTTATATAGTAGCATTATGATATTTTCTGTTTTATTATCCATCCCTTTCCTAATGGTTCCTAACAATCTGTTAGCTTTTTTGACTGCTGTTGCACATTGAGCGGGTGTTTTCAGAGAACTATCCACAATGACTCCAAGATTGCTTTCTTGAGTGGTAAAAGCTAATTTATACCCCATCATTTTGTATGTACAGTTGGGGTTATTTTTTCCAGCATGCATTACTTTGCATTTATCAACATTGAATTTCATCCATAATTTAGTTTCCCACTCACCCAGTTTTGTGAGATCCTTTTTTAACTCTTCGCAGTTTGCTTTGGTCTAAACTATCTTGAGTTATTTTATATTATCTGCAAATGTTGTCACCTCTCTGTTTACCCCCTTTTTCAGATCATTTATGAATATGTTGAACGGCACTGTTCTCAGTACAGATCCCTGAAGGACATCTCTATTTACCATTCTCCGTTCTGAAAACTGACTATTTATTCCTATCCTTTGTTTCCTATCCTTTAACCAGTTACTGATCCTTTAGAGGATCTTTCCTCTTATCCCATGACTGCCTTCTTTGCTTAAGAACCCTTGGTGAGGGATCCACTGGATCACCCTTGTGCAGATGCTTGTTGACACCCTCAAAGAATTCTAATAGATTGGTGAGGCATGATTTCCCTTTACAAAAGTCATATTGACTCTTCCCCAACATATCCTGTTCATCTGTGTCTGGTAATTGTTCTTTACTGTAGTTTCAACCAAAATGTATTGAAGGGACCCATCCTACACTGTTCCCTGGACTAGATCAGTGGTTCTCAAAGAGGATTATGTGTATCCCTGGGGGCACGCAGAGGTCTTCCAGGGGGTATATCAACTCATCTAGATATTTGCCTAGTTTTACCACAGGCTACATAAAAACACTAGCAAAGTCAGTACAAACTAAAATTTCATACAGACAAAATGAGAAACAATTTTTCAGTAGTAGTGTGCTGTGACATTTATTTATTTTTATGTCTGATTTTGTAAGCAAGTAGTTTTTAAGAGAGGTGAAACTTGGGGGTACGCAAGACAAATCAGACTCCTGAAAGTAGTCTGGAACGGTTGAGAACCATTGGACTACATGACCTTTTCTTCACTAGGAAAATGGAAAAGCATTCTTAACTTGAGTTAACTTAGGCCTGATCTACACTTAAAAATGAGATTGACCTAGCTATGACCGTTAGCGGTGACCCTGAGCACCGAATTCTTCTGTTGACCTAGCCACTGCCTCTCAGAGAAATGAATTAACTACACGATGGAAAAACTCCTTCCGTCAACGTAGGAAGCATCTATACGACAGCCGCACAGTTGCAGTGCCATAACTTTGTTGCTGTAGTGTGGACATGCCCTAGCTCAAGGTAAAATCCTAGTGAAGATGAGGCAGGTTGTAGTTTTCATCTGAGTTAGTAGGTTGAGTTAAAGAATGCAAAGTAAACTCGAGTTATAACTTGTTGCCCCTAATTCGTGTTCCATCTGTGCATAAAATTTGAGTATTTGAGTGGTAGTGGTGCTTTTAACTGAAGCTGGCTGGCCCATCAGAGTATATGCTAATGTTCAAGTTAGCACAACTTATCAGCTCCTAACATGACCACTGTAGGTGGACATAGTGCTGCTAGTCGTCCAGTGCCTTCCTACAATTCCTCTGTGTACCCAGAAAAGACAAGAGAAGTTCTTTTACAATTCATTGGGAAAGAATTCACAAGCAGGTCAACTTACTGCAATGGAAAGAACCGCAGGATGTGCCCCCAGAAGTCTTAGCACCACACGAGAGAGTGTAGTACTAGTGTGAACGCAGCAGGACGAGTGTTGATTTGCAGAGTAGCGGTTCTTGCTTAAGCTACCCTATCTTGAGAAGTGATCATTTGAGTTACGAACACTTATCCTGGTTAAGACACAGCAGATGTAACCTACTAGATATTTTATAAAATCACAGAAATTAGAGGTGGTAGTTTATTAATTACAAGTCTTCCTTTTCCATAGGGCGTCCGAGAGCTGTCTGTCCGGCCCAGCGGCAGCAGGCACATCAAGAAGCAGACGTTTGTAGTACATGCCGGGACAGATACAACAGGAGACATCTTCTTCATGGAGGTAAGGACAAGAATTAATGATAACACAGTAATAATGCTAGATGTATGATGTGAGGATTCCCATCTAAAACTCTTTATATCCTCAGGTGTGTGATGATTGCATTGTGCTGAGAAGTAACATTGGAACTGTGTACGAACGGTGGTGGTATGAGAAACTCATCAACATGACATACTGTCCTAAAACGAAAGTGCTGTGTCTCTGGAGGAGGAACGGCCAGGAGACACAGCTGAATAAGTTCTACACCAAGAAGGTATATCTGTTATTTCACCCTTTAGTTCCTAAAGGAAGTGAGAGGGCAATGAATCCTCAGTGATGATTACTGAATTGCAGTATCTGTTTAGCAGAACTGATGTTTGATGTAGACATTGAACTCCAAGAAAGCTAAAGATTTGTAACTACAAGTAATATATTTAAGGGCTATAGCATCATATTATGTGCATAATTCTTTACTAAGCAATTAAAGACAGACCCCTGTCCCCAAAATCTTACTCTCTACATGAAATAAGATTGGGAGACGATAACACAGGAAGGGCATAGGGTGGAGAGACCATAATGACAATTTGCTAATACAGTAACTTGGGAAGCTAACTTGCATATCTTGAGGCGCAGGTATTTCTTAAAATCATGGTATCAGATTATAGATGCATTATACATCCTTGAAGTAATGCCTAAGAAGGGGCTTAGAAGAGGAGAGTC